TCTCAAAGGATAAAATATTCTTTCGGCTTCTTTAAAAAAATAAAATACCAGGGATCTCTTAGACTATTTGGACTTCTTTAAAAAAATAACACACCAGGACCGCCAAGATTCTTTTTAGTTCTTTGAAGACATTAAAACACCAGGGGTCCCCCAGATTCTTTGGATTGAAATAAAAACACCAGAGGTTCCCGAGATTCTTTAGACTTCGTTGAAAAAATAAAACACCAGGTGTTCCCAAAATTCTTTCAGCTTAAAAAAATGCATATCCGAAATTTTTAAAAGTATAAAATATCAGGAATCTCGGGCATTCCTTCAAGTTCTTAAAATAATAAAACGCCAGGGATTCCTAAGATTCTTTGGACTTCTTTGAAAATATAAAACACCAGAGACCCCCAAAATTTTTCTGTTTCTTTAAAAAAATAAAATATCACGGTTCGCTCAGATTCTTTCGGTTTCTTTATTAAAATAGATCACCAAGAGTTCCCAAGATTCTTCCAAGACCTTAAAAAAGTATAACAGGAGGGTTTACTGAGATTCTTTGGTATGTAAAAAATTAAAACACCAGGGGCCCCCAATAAATATTTTATGGACTTCTTTGAAAAATAAATCACCAAAGATTCCCGGGATTTTTGAGGACTTCTTTTATTAAAAAAAAAATAAAACACCACTGATTTCCGGGTTTCTGTGGAACGTCTTTATAATGATAAAACGACACCAGGGGCCGCCAAAATTCTTTCCAGTTTTTACACCAGGAGTTCCCAAGATTTTTTCGGCTTCTTTGAAAAAATAGATCACCAAAGGTTCCCGAGATTCTTTCGGCTTCTTTAAAAAAATAAAATATTAGGGATCTCCGAGACTATTTGGAATTCTTTAAAAAAATAAAACACCAGGGATTGCCGAGATTCTTTCGACTTCTTAAAAAAAAGTTATTTGAAAAAAAATAAATAAATACACCAGGGGTTTCCAAAATTCTTTGGACTTCTTTGAAGACGTAAATCCGACATCCTTACGATTTCTTAAAAAAAATTAAGCACCAGAGGTTCCCGAGTTCTTTGGATAAAAAAACTCAAAGGACCCCTAAGATTTTTTAAACTTCTTTAAAAAAATAAAACACCAGGTGTTCCCACAATTCTTTCGGCTTTAAAAAGTGTATGTACATATATCTAGATACCCGAGTTTTTTTTTAATATAAAACGCAAGAGACCTCCAAAGATTTTTTAGACGTCTTTAAAAAAATAAAGGGGAAAAAAGATAAGAGGGAGAAAAATAAAAGGGTTCCCCGAGATTCTTTGAAGTTCTTAAAAAAAATGAAACATCGGGGAATCCCGGATCTCTGTGGAACTTCTTTACAACAACAAAACACTAGAGGCTGTCAAGATTCTTTCCAGTTTTTACACCAGGGGTTCCCAAGATTTTTTGGGCTCCTTTACCAAATTAGTTCACGAAAGGTTCCCGAGATTCTTTGGGCTTCTTTAAAAAAGTACAAAATATCAGGGATCTCCAAGACTATTTGGACTTCTTAAAAAAAAAATAAAACACCAGGAACCGCCAAGATTCTTTCTAGTTTTTTAAAGAAATTAAAACACCAGAGGATCCCGAGATTGTTTGGACTTTTTTAAAAATATGTATAAAACACGAGGAACCCCCAATTTTTCTTGGTTTCGTTAAAAAATACAATATTAGAGATCTCCCAGATTCTTTCGGCTTCTTTATTGAAATAAATCACCAGAGTTTCTAGAGATTCTTTGGTATGTGAAAAAAAAACCAAGAGACTCCAATATTCTATGTAGTTCTTTGAAGAAATAAATTAAGATTCTTTCTGCTTCTTTAAAAAAATAAGTCGCCAAAAATTCTCAGGATTTTGAGGACTTATTTAAAAAAATAAAACACCAGGGATTCCCGAGTTTCTGTGGAACTTCTTTATAGCAACAAAACATTAGGGGCCGTTAAGATTCTTTCCAGTTCTTATACCAGGGGTTCCCAAGAATTTTTCGGCTTCTTTAACAAAATAGATCACTAAAGGTTGCCAAGATTTTTTCAGCTTCTTAAAAAAAATAAAATATCAGGGATCTTCGAAACTATTTTTTGGACTTCTTTAAAAAAATAAAAAAACACCAGGGACCGCCAAGATTCTTTCTAGTGCTTTAAAGAAATGAAAACACCAGGGGTTCCCGGGATTCTTTCGACTTATTAAAAAAAAGTTATTCGAAAAAAAAACACCAGGTGTTTCCAAACTTCTTTGGACTTCTTTGAAGACGTAAATCCCCAGAGCTTCCCAACTTCCTTTCGGCATCTTTAAAAAAATTAATCACCAGAGGTTTTCGAGTTTTTTGGATAAAAAAAAACAAAGGATCCCTAAGATTTTTTAAACTTCTTTAAAAAAAATGAAACACCAGCTGTTCTCACAATGGATGCCCGAGTTTTTTTTTTAAACATAAAACACAAGAGGCCCCCAAGATTCTCTCTAGTTATTTAAAGAAATTAAAACACCAGGGGTTTCCGGGATTATTTGACCACCAAGATTTTTTGGTTTCATTAAAAATAAAATATCAGAGATCTCCTAGATTCTTTCGGCTTCTTTATAAAATAAATCACCAGGAGTGCCAGAGATTCTTCCGAGTTCTTAAAAAAATAGATATATAACACCAAGGATTCCCGAAATTTTTTAATCTTTGCAAAATAAAACACCTCCAATATTCTATGGACTTTAAAGAAATAAATCACCTCGAGATTCGCTCGGCTTCATGAAAAGTATAAATAACCAGAGGTTCCCGAGATTCTTCCGGCTTCTTAAACAAAAATAAAATATTCCAGATTTTCAAAATTTTTTCAAGTTCCAAAAAAAACAGCAGGGATTCCCGAGATTCTGTTACCTCAAAATTTTGCTAGGTAAATGGTGTTTAAATTCTATAAAATATTACGCTTCTGTACTTGCTTTTTGCCCTAAATATCTAGATTTCTGAAAAAAAAGTCAAAATTTTACAAGAAACCGGCCTAATAATAATAATAGTATATATAATAGGACAATAGAATGGAGATTATAATATGTACATATAAACTTAAACTTACACAGTAATATGACTAAACTTAAACTTAAACTAAGATGAATTAGACAGAATTTTCCTGGGCCCTGAAGTACAAAGTAAACCCAGCTTTTTTGGAAAATTATAAGATTTGATTTACTTTTGGTGAAACCCTCTATAAATTATAGAAATAAAAATTATACCAGTTATAGTTTTAAAAAAATGATCCCATGGAAAGATTTGTGCTCGAGTTGCTCCTGTACTGACATATAAAGTTATTAAACATAATTTGGATTTTTTGTGGGACAATTTGAATGTCTAGGATAAAAACTGAAGGCGGATTCATGAACTACAACACACAGACATATCCCTGAACTACATATAAAATTTCACAACAATCACTCAAGTAGTTTTAGAGATTATCAGTCTAATAAAATCGACACAGACAGATGACAGACAGACGAAAACAGGAGACTTATTTTTTCAAACTCTAGGGGTCATAAAACGCCAAAAAGACCTTATTCCTACTACAATATTTCCTTAGCTTATACTCGAGAAGTAAAAGTTATCTTAATCTGCTCTGAAATCTTGTGAAGGCGTTAGGTTTATGATAGATCTGAGAAATCGGTAAACAAAGTTTATTTGTTTATCCTCCCAAAAATGTGATGACATTCTGAAAATTTTACTAGATAAATGCTATCTAAAGTATGTCTACATTTGAGGTTTATCAGTGCACCTATATCTATTTTATCTTGCGTCTGCAGATTTTAGGAATTAATAAATCCCGGACAGCCCGAGAAATACTGACGAAATGCTTTAGACGAATTTTTTCTTATAGTTTGAGATTTCGACATATCCGAACTTTTGTTGTCAACTTTTTGAGATCTTTTCAATATCTTGGGAAAAAACTTCAGGAAATTGGACACAAAATAGAGTGGTTTCACACGTCGCTTATTTCGCAGCAATGTGAAATTTTAACTTTTGCAAACTATATTTCTTGACGATTTATTTTTATCAGAACTTTTGTATTACTAGGTGTACCACACCAGTAATCGCCGCAACTGACAGGGTTATAAATATTCTGCAACTCGATCCTTGCTATTCACCTTCAACAACTTGTTAAACGACGGAGAGAAAAGGTGTTTAAAAAAGCTTTTTATGTAAATGGATCCACGGCTTTTTTCCAAACTGAAAAAGGATCTCTGTAATTTTTTTCATAACCGCACCTATTAGGCGAAAATGTGGTCAAACAGCTCGTCATCAAGGTTTAAATTTCGCAAGAACCACGCACTGTTTGTTTTTTGCAAAATAAATTAGCGCTATCGTCCAAATTAAAATACCAGACCGAAGCGAAGACAATGTTATTTTAACCATAAATTACCTGACATAATAACGAGTGCTGGTTTTTATGCTGTGCGAAAGTTCGCTTTTTCCTCGTAAACTGATTTCATAACAAGCGGTTAATTAAAGTTTTTGCTGAACCTAACCAAAAATAGACCAGAAATGCTTTACGGTGGACCAGTTCGCAAGTATGTCGATTGTTTGAGCAACCAATTCGTGTCATATGATGTCCTGCGGTGTCACGTTGTTCGATCGTCAGCTTCCAGACGCTAAATTCTCACCTCGTGCTCGAGAGCAATTGCTGTCGTTTTTAATGAAACATTCCGCGAATTGCATTACTAACAAATAAAGCAAACCCGCACCTGCTCACCTTGGCCGTCTTAAAAATTTTCCCGCGATTTTGTGGCGTCTCGAACATCCCCTGATCGTTTTCGCCATAATCATCTGTAAGGTCATCGTTTTTTGTCTGGCGGAACCTGCTGATCGTAGTTTTTCGCCGACGTTTGAGATTCCACTTTTCGCTGCGCCAGCTGGTGGAAGGAAATTAATTACACCTCCTGATGATGAGACAGCATAATGGGAAACGTCCTTGCTGTTTTGCAGAAGCAGAAATAATGATATAGTGTTTTGTTACAGACGTTTTCGCCTCTGGTATCCCCCGTAGATATGGTGCTCAAACTGCAGCCGGTGGAATTTCTGCTCGACAAAGAACTGGCTTTCGAAGATTACAAACCACTCAAACCTTTCCAGGTAAGAATGACCAAAACAAAAGCAAAAAAAGTACCGCTAGTTAATTTAATCTGCGAATTTAGAAGCTGCGCAGACGAAGGCTGCACGGAATTGGCCGCAGGGGCATTTGAATAGAAATTATTTATTGCGTGTTTTTTTCGAGAAAATATGCTTCTGCTAAGGCGAACATAATCACGAAATAATTAGTGTACTGCTTCATAAATTATTCAACAACATTGATTGACTGAGCCGGGAAAATTAACTTTTTACCTACTACACACATGCATTTGTAAACATGAAACACCGACCGTGGGTGGTTCCAATTCTTATTTATTACATTATATTACATGTTATTATAGAATGTGGAAGTCTTTGCTGCAGCTACACATTTCATTAATAATATGGCTACATGAATGCCAATGGAGTATTTTAGTTTACGTAACCACATAACCATTGGCATAAATTTTAATTATACTAGCACAAAAGATATAGTGGTTTTATGACTTTGATTTTTTCAATCGCTTCGTTAATGAATAAAGAGTATTTTACTAATATCAGTAATACCGCTAAAAATATAACCATTCTGTTTAGCCAAATACAAAAGACGGCCTCTATATATATACTAATAAGCTGCATTATTCCTTGACAAGAGTACTGGGAGTCAAAATAGTAAAATCGCTATATCTCTTGTGGCAGTATACTTTTTGCTTCCTGAGCGTAAGCTAAGTAAGTGCTTTAATCGAGTTCATCGAGTGATTGGCTACATTTATGTTTTCTTGACATTTCATGACACCTAAAGTACAAAAAATTGATTTCCCATTTCCGTCTGTTTGTCTGTCCACCTCTTTGGTGTTCTGATCTTCTCCACCAATCACGTCGTCTCCAAATTTTACAATAGTAAATGTTATTTAAATTTTATAAAATAACGTCCTACTTTATAAATCCTTGTGGACTTTGTACACTGGGCATTCAGATTTTTGGAAAAAAAATGACAATTGTATAACATTTTGGAATTTAAGTTTGAAATTGTAAAATCGAATGCACTGAAATTTTGCAAACGTTCTAAGATTACTGGAAGTATGGTATAGTTTGGGAAATTTCTTTCTACCCTATAAAATTTTTTTGGCAATAACGAGACGAACAGTAGTACAATAGCAAGAGATATTTACAACTTGAAGTTGTCGCGTGCCAGTAATCCCCAGATGTTAGAAAGCAGAATAATCCAGGTCCGGACCATCGTTACTCACGAACCAAATTAACCATTATTTTATGAGCACAACTACCTGATAAATGTTCTCCGACAAATTCGGATGCACTGCTGTGAGCCAGAAATATTTCTTACCACTGTACAACTGTCCGCCTCGTTATTGTCAATAAAATTTTATAGGGTAGAATAAAATTTCCAAAACTATAAATCGTTAATAAAAAAAATTGATGATGTCATCTTGCAATTTTGTTGAATAAATGTTATTTAAATGTTAAAAAGTAACAGTTCTGAACGATATTTTTGGAGAAAAAGAAAACAAAATGGAATAACAATTTTTCGGGTTTTCGAATTGATTTTTTGATATCACAATTTTCGATGCATATTTTGATTGAATTTTTGATTGATATTTTTCGGTATTTCAATTTGGGGATTTTTCAATTTGTTGATTCTTCAAGCAATTTCGAATTTTCGATTTCTCGTTGTCCATTTTTTCAATTTTTCCATTTTTGGCGTTTCTAAATTTTTGATTTTTCAAGTTTTCGTTGTTTCAGTTTTGGGATTTTTCAATTTTTGGGGATTTTATCAATATACATATTGATTTTTTGATTTTAGTTTTTGTATTTTTCAAAATTTCGATGTATTAAATTTTCGATTTTTCAATTTTTTTTATTTTTTCTATTTTTTCATGTTTTGATTTCGCGATTTTCCATTTTTCGACATTTTAATTTTTCGATTCTTTAAACTTTAGATATGATTTTTCAGGTGTTCGATTTTTCTATTTTTCGAATTTTAATTTTTAATTTTAGATTTTTGAGTTTTTGACGTTTCGATTTTCCGATCTTTTGATTTTTTAGTTTTTCGATTTTTCAATTTTTTAATTTTTGGCGTTTCTAAATTTTCGATTTTTCCATTTCTCAATTTCTCACTTAATTAATTTTTGATTTTTTGTCTTGGATTTCTCGATTTTTCGATTTCTCAAGTTTTCGTTGTTTCAGTTTTGGGATTTTTCAGTTTTTGGGATTTTTTCAATACATATTTTGATTTTTTCACTTTTTCCATTTTTCAAGACTATGATTTTTGAAGTTTAAGCTTTTTCAATTCTTTTGTTTTTTGTATTTTTTGATGTTTTGATTTCACGATTTTCCACTTTTCGATACATATTATTTTAATTTTTCGATCCTTTAAATTTTAGTTATGATTTTTCAGGTGTTCGATTTTTCTGTTTTTCGAATTTTAATTTTTAATTTTAGATTTTTGACTTATTTATATTTCGATTTCCCGATCTTTTGATTTTTAGTTTTTCAATTTTTTGATTTTTTAGTTTTTCGATTTCTTAATTTTTCAATTTTTCGGTTTTTCCACTTCTCGACTTCTCGATTTCTCGATCTTTTGATGTTTCGATTTCGCCATGTTTCAGTTTATCAATTTCGATTTCTCAGTTTTTCGATTTTTCGACATTCAGTTGAGATTTATCAATTTCTGGATTTTTCAGTCTTCGATTCTCCAATTTTTCAATTTTTGGCGTTTTGTAAATTTTCGATTTTTCCGTTTCTCACTTCGTGGATTGATTTTTTGATATTTTCTTTTCTATATCTTGATTTTTCAATTTTTCGATTTGTGTAGTTTTCGATGTTTCAGCTTTGGAATTTTTCAATATTTCGATTTTTTGATTTTTTACCACTTTAATTTTTCGATTTTTAATGTTTTGATTTCACGATTTCCGCGTTTCAATATTTTAATTCTTCGGTTCTTTAAATTTTAGACATCGATTTCTTGATTTGTCAACTTTCAGTTCTTCGCATTTCACTTTTTGCTCTTTCAATTTCTCGATCTTTCGATTATTTAGTTTGTCAACTTTTCTATTTTTTAATTTTTGTGATTTTTCGGTTTTTCATTTTTTTAAGTTTAAATTTTTCAATTTTGAATTTTTCGATTTTGGGCTATTTTGACTTCTGAATTTCTTGATCTTTGCTGTTTGGATTTCGCGATGTTTCAGTTTATTAATTTCGATTTCTCGGTTTTTGGATTTTCCAACATTTCAGTTTTGAGATTTTTCTCTTTCTTCGATTCTTCAATTTTTCAATTTTTCAATTTGTTAATTTTTTTAAATATTGGATTCTTCGATTTCTCATTTGCTAGTTTTTTTGATTTTCCACTTTCTGGTTTTATATATTTTACATTTTTCCATGTTTCGATTTTACGATTTTTCATGTTCGGATTTCCCGATTTAAAATTTTTTTTAAAATTATATGTATTTACATTTTTCGATTTTTCAGCATCTTGGTTTTTGGTTTCTATATTTTTTTGGACTTTTCGCTTTTTCGATTTTTCATCAGTTCAATTTTGGAAAATTTTCAATTTTTCCATTTTAAAATTTTTTAATTTTGAATGTTTCGATTTTTTAGATTTCGACTTTGCGATTTTTCAATTTTTCGATTCTTAAAGTGTCATTTTTTATTTTTCCTTTTCTCTGTATTTTTAAATTTTTCGATCTTTGATTTTAATTTTTCGATATTTAAATTTTTTCCTGTTGGTTATCTCCTTTAGTTATATATGCCATAAAGACCTTTTGCACAACTAAAATGGCCGCCGATTCAATGGTACCAACCAAGTAAAACACATGGTAATACCGCATACTCAGAAATGTTGGCAATCCTGGATTTTTAGTTGAAATTGGTATCACATGATGTTTTCTATAATTTGCGGTTGTTTTAATTAGCAAAATGTGTCCAAAACAAAACCTAAATTTATCACATTTGACAATTGACATATCTATCATACATTTACTTTCGGTTAAGCCAACATAAACGTAAGAAAAATCACGTTTTTGTTTAAAAAGTACTGCCAACATACTCAGTCATTTCTGATCACGCGGTATTTATCCGCACATAAATTTAAGTTGGCAACAGTGAACCTTTTAAATTAAGCATGACAATCGATTGGTGGATTTCGTGGCACCAAATTTAAAAAGTGGGAAAATCAGCCCATATGATTAATTGAAAAAATGATATTTCCATATAACTGAAAATAAAAAATATATTATCCAGAAAACCATCACTGCTATGTCCGATCAAAGACCTTAAAAAAATCGAGTAGTGAAATAAAGCCACCAAACAAGAGAGTAAAAATGAAAAAAAAAAACAAGAACAAAAACCGAAGTGTAAATCAGTTTTATCTTAGCAGATACTAGCCCCGCCCACCCCCCCTCTCTTTTCTTAGAGGGTATCTCATTAGCCAAAATCACTCTTATCTTGGCAGGAACTAACCCCGCCCACCCGCCCTCTATTTTCTTAGAGGGATCTCATTTGCCAAAATCAGTCTTATCCTAGCAGGTAAAATAAAAAATATATTATCCAAAAAAACATCAGTGCTTAAAAAATCAAGTATTGAAATAAAGCCACCAAACAAAAGAGTAAAAATGAAAAAAAAACAACGAATAAAAACTGGAGTGTAAAGACTATTGGTAAATAAATCATCAAAGACCAAATCTAAAGTCTTCAAAATTTACATGTAGGGACCAAGATCAACAAGTATATGGAATAAAAAAGATTAAGAGGAATTATTGAGGTTTCCGAGGAAGAAAATGAAGAAGTAGAGGACTCATGAAAAGTGGTAATAACAAAAGAAGAAAAAGATAGACATCGGAATTTGTCTAAGAAAGATGGTTAGTTAATTCCAGAAACAGAATAGCCCTAAAAGAAGTGGGGGTCCTTAAAATAAGGTTTTCAAACCGAGGCAATGCAGTTAAGTAGATCAAGAAAAGGTAGTTAAGTTTGGGAGCTTTATATTTTATCCAATCAACGAAGCGATACAC